TTTTTTAATAGCCATCAAAACTAATTTGAGTCCCCAATAACTTGGAAAAAGAACAGGGATTTCCAACTCCGGTAACAAGATGGAGAAGCACAGGAAGGGACCATGTCTGGGTCAAGGCTCCACAGCAAAACCCAGCTCCTCTGATTCTGTTTAATCTTTGCTACTGCTGCTTCCTGATACAGTCCTTGTAGTTGGGCCCAAATGAACAAATCATGTGCCCCAGAACACACCCTACATTCCTGCTCATTTTAAACTACCCCATTAGTAAGTCCTTGGGTGGTGCAATTGATTAACATGTTAGGCTGCTAACAGGTTGGAGGTTTCGGCCCACTCAGAGGTACCTGGGAAGAAAGGCCTACCTATCAACAGGGCATGGAAAACCCTATGGAACTATTTATTCTCCGACATGATTTGAGGTGGACTAGATGGTAACTGGTACTTACCAGTTTCTTCAGAAGTATACACTCATAGTATTTGCTACATGTCAAAGACTATTGTAAACAACCCCTCTGACTTGTGTCCCCTGAACTCCCCAGCCCTAGCCACTTGGATGGTGACTGCAATCTTTCTAGACTTTGTTAGGTATTGGAGTTAATGAACGTCAGAGAACGCATCTGACTCACCTCTGTGGCTGCTCTCCCAACCCTCAGGTGGCATAGTACAAGACCTACACATAGATTGCTGTTGTTGTTAAGTGCTGTAGAGTCTATTTCAACTCATAATAACCCTGTATAGGGTTTCTAAGGAGAGTCTGATAGGTTTGAACCGCTAACCTTATGGTTAGGGTTAGCATCCATTGCTTATCCTGCAGCACCACACCAAACCTGCACAAAGGAGTTATTATCAGATAACAGATAGAATGATTAAGTGAATGGCCATAAAATGTACTCAACACATAGTTACTGTCACTTACTAAGAGTTCAGACAAGGGGATACATTCATTCCTTAATCCAGCAAAAGTATTGCACATCTGTTTAAAGGTTTAAGGATTATTCATCTAAGCTAGGACCCCTATATCCTGAAAAATGCACACATACTCAATATTTTGCAGACAATTTTAAGAGTTCACAGACTCTTTATAGCCTATCTATGGTCCCACTAAGTTTCTAGGACCTCAAGTTAGGGATCCGGGGCCTCAAGAAGTCTATTGAACACCCACTATGTGCAAGTTGGAGATACACATTTAATTAGTCAATTCAATCATTATATATGTTAAATGCCTATGCAGTAACTTTGGGGGTTAATCCACATAATGTACTGAGAGGGCTAATCTATCCAGTATGCCAGACCTTGAACCTACAGAGGCTCAAGGTGCCTAGAGAGATGAACAAGGAGCAGCATAAGATTCATGTTCTTGGGGCCTCATAGGCTAACAGGGACCAGACTGGGGTCCAGTCCTTCCCTCCATCCCTACACCGTCCTAGCTCCCACCCCACTAGAATGAAGGATGGAGGCGAACACAGTCCTGCTAGATTGCAGCTAGTGCAGGTAGAGAGAACTCAGGGACCTTACGCCCATCTGTTAGTCTTTATATTTTTTGTTCATCCTTGACCTCCAGGCCTGCTG